AACACACACACACACACACACACAAATTATATCTGACACCCTTTTTTTGCATGCCGCAGAAATGGGCATGTTCCTTGCTGTGTGCCCTCTGCTAGACTTTTTTTTTGCTAAACAAATGTAGCTTCATCTTCTCCAGGAGTGACAATACTGCAGTAGAATGATAATTAATTCAGTCTTGATCAACCCAAGGCAGGACGTGTGCCTTGCTTGCATTTTATTGAGCATAGGTGGTGCAGTTCAGTCTTGGGAAGCAGTCTCTCCAGCATATAGAGCAGTAAAGCCGTTGAAAGCGCATCAGTCATTTTATATCTACATGGCATTGATTAATTGGTCTGATCGCATTCTTAGAAACGGCTGTGCACAAAAGAAGATTTAATGTGGCCTATTGGGGTGAAAAAGAAGCAAAGATCTGCCTCATGACAATGAATTAAACTGATTGCCTGGGATGCTTGATGCAATTAAATTGGTTATAAATAACTGAGGTCTGTCCTTAATGAAGACAGTAGTAGGTTGTTACAGAAATGCTGACTTTTAGGGCTCGCCTCAAGGTATGCATCACTAGGATTGTTTAAATGCAAGTTAAACAATTCATTTTCATGCAATTAAATTAGACAATGTGTTCTGATAAAATCACTGACTGGTGGAGTTATAACTCTACAGTGAAATTTGCTTGGACAAGATTTGTGGAGATAGAAGCATACATTGTTTTAGCTGTTATACCAGTAGGGGCCTCTGTGCTATAAATGCAGGATTTTGTTGTGACTGGGTGTATGCCGAACTTATTAAACCTCCCCTCCACCCCAAAAAAACCCCTGTCTAAACATTGTGAAAACTTGTTGGCAGTAACCCTGAGATTTTGAATTAGATTTTACGATCATTCATTGATAGAAAAGCAGATTCATTCATTGATAGAAAAATTCTCAACTAACATTCCTTTTCGTTGGTAGTTTTTTCATTTTTGAGAAGAGTATTCTTTAAAAGTAGGTAGGTCTTACTCCTGCAATAGTGTGTAAGTGGTTGTACGCATTAGTGATCAAGATTCACCCCATAAGTTCAGTGGGATCTAGATGCACATTACATCCAGGAACACATATGGACTTGGTTGATACAATGGGTTTCAGTAGATAGGTGGAGAACCCTTTTCAGCCTGAATCAAATGGCAGCACTTTTAATATCATCCCAGACACAAAACTTCTGCATATCAACTCAGAAGTAAGCAGGAAAAGACTCACCATACTTATTCATTAGAAAGCAGGACAAATCTGAGAAGTAAGCAGAACTGAATCACTCAGCAGCTTCCATCCCAGGCCCTGCCTCCTCTCCCCTGTGGGGATAAAGCTCTTATCTGTGACAACCAGCTGATCAGGCAGGAAAACTTTCCTTTGCTGTGCAGTGGCAAAGGCCTCCTTTCTTTTTGTGGAGCAGGGCAAGGCTCCTAACATTTGATCAGCTGCTAATCTGAGAGAAGAACCTTTTTCTGCCTTGGGAAGGGGTGGGGCCTCAGGAAGAAGCTGGTCAGCCAGATGGTGAACCCCTGTGGGCTGGAAGTTACCTGTCTCAGATAGAGGCCTCTTACACGGAGATGTTTTAAAAGAAGGTAGAATGCCAACAGTTTGTTGTTTTAAAGAAGGTAGAATGTTTTGTTACTTATTTTTACAGAAGGTAGAATGCCAGCAATTACATTCAAGCTGTGGTTTATCTAGGCTTCAACCAATCATGCAAAAATTTTATTTATTTATTTATTAAAACATTTTTATGCTGCCCCATTCGCCGAAGCCTCGGGGCGGCTTACAAACAATAATGCAGATAACACACATGTATATAAGTGGAAAATCGTGCCAGTTGTAATGTTATCTCCTTTATGAATGAATTACTGGACCATGATTAAGATCATGATATCCTCCCTGCATTGAACCATTTTTGGTTAAATTACAGAACCACATAGTATTTCTAGCCAGCCTAGAAATTGCATTTCTTGATGGAGACTTATATCTTCAAGGGAAAGCAGCATCAACAAGATTCAGGAACCCTGTACTCTCCAGATGTATTGGTCTATGTTTCCCATCTTCTCCCATCAGTCCAACACATCTGTAGAGTGCTAGATTGGAGAAGGCTGACCTGGACTATCAGAAGAAAAACAAATGGTGGAGGTAATTAGTTCAGACCGACCAGCTTCAGTGCCTGGGCATGGATATGACTTCACTGAACTTCACTTCAAAGGCCAATGTTACTCATCCTTGCTGGAAATGGCTTCTGATAGGGAGTTCATGGATGATCCCAAAGTGGGGGCAGTGGCTACAACTGCCGAGCAGGTGATCCAGTTCCAGAAGTATCTGGACAGGCTGTGGAAGTGGGCAGGGGACAATAGGATGGCATTCAATGTGGGTGAGTGCAAGTTCTTGCACTTGGGACACAGGAATAGGTGTCACAGGTACAGGTTGGAGGACAAGTGGCTGGAGAGCAGCACTTGTGAAAGGGATCTCCGAGTACTTGTCAACAGCAGGTTAAACATGAGCCAGAAGTGTGATGCAGTGGTTAAGAAGGCAAATGTCATCCTTGGATGTATAGCCAGAAGTGTGGCTTCCATATCTAGAGAGGTGTTGATACTGCTGTTCATGACTCTGATGCAGCTGGAGTACTGTGTCCAGTTCTGGGCTCCACATTATAGGAAAGACATCGCTAGGTTAGAATTGGTTCAGTGGAGGGTCACAATAATGGTAGCTGGGTTGGGAGCGATGACATATGAGGAGAGATTGAGGGAACCGGTTCTTTTCTGCCTGGAGAAGAGACTCAGAGGGGATCTTTTAATGACTTATAGGTATGTGAGGGGATATCATGTGGAGGAGAGCCATGACCTGTTCTTCCCTGCACTGTAGGGCAGGACACATTCCAATGGGGCAAAGCTCAAGGAACCAGGCTTCAGGTTGGATGTCAGGAAGTACTTCCTGATGGTTAGTTTCCCTAACCAGGATATGGAATGGGCTTCCAAGGGAGGTGGTTGAAGCCTCATCAGTGCGGATGTTCAAGGAAAGATTGGATGACCACATGTTGGGGATTAAATGAACAGAGCTGGCTGGAGTCAGGGGTCAGACTAAATAGCCCAGGAGTCCCTTCTGACTCACTTTGTTTCTATGTTTCAGTTGGTAGGCATGCAGGCAATATGTTCCTTATTTTTTTTATCTATTCCATTTCTACACCACCCCATAGCCAAAAATCTCTGCTATAATTAGGCTGCTTTATGCCACCTAAAAAGTTCTAGTTTTGCTTTAAGACACCCAGTTTTGCCTAATTTGTCAAGTAATTTTGGTGGTCATCAGGACTTCGTTGCTCGTGTTCTATAATATGTTTGATTACAGAAACAGAGTTCTGTCGTCCTTGTAGACATTGCAGTTCTGTCCCTCTTGTACAATCTGCTGCAGACATGTAATGCACATAAATAGTTGGAGGTATAGAAAGTGTGCTGAGCAGACTTCAAAAACTGTAGTACTATTACGCTCTGCTTTATAACAGTACATTTATTTCTGTTTCTTAAATTAATGAAACAATTGAAAACCTTTAAGGTATACATTAGAAGTTTCAGGGATTAATTTAGCCATTACTGAAGCACTCTTGTCTCTGATAGGATACAAACATCTGTTTAATAGCAAATTAAATGCCCCTCCAAATGATTGGGATAAACAAAGGAATTCAGTTGAAACATCACATGATGGTGTTGAGCCAACTGATGTAGCTGGTAAGGTTTAGCATCTGAGCTAAACAACTAGCAAAAGGAATGAGAAATCATATCCAAAAAAATCCAGACTTTTTTGTAATATAAAATTAATTGATCTGGTTCTTATTAAATATAAGTAACTCTTAGTCATAATCTAAAATGTTCTAATGCATGTAGTGATGCAAATGAGGACACATTTAAAAGCTACCAAGAACAGGTGAGTCTAGTGCTCTAATGTGGCTTCTAAAACTAAATCACATGACTAGTGTGTTAAAATGGAACACTTCTGTCTTCCATTAATCAATATAAGGTGCCTTGCAGATGATATCAAACATATATATAAACGCTAGTTTTTTTGTTTTCTTGAGGGAGATTTTAGGAGAACCAGAGATCATGCTTGTCACTTTTGAAAGGTTTAAAGCCAGAAAGACTATAAAGAAGAGATAAGGAATGTGGTGCCTGTGGGCGTCAGTGCACATCAGACACCTTCCTTGCCCACCAACCAAGGTGCCAGTCCTTCCCACATCGATATGAACATTAATATTTTTTCTTACTAGCAGATGGGATTGCTGTGAAATGGGTTTCTGTTGCTGCTGAAAACTGGGAATCAATGCTTCTGTTTAGAGTGTTGGGAGCTCAGATGCCACCTCTGCCTTCTACCGAGTGTTTGGGCACGTTGTCATTGGCTAACCTCTGATGGCATTCATGTTGTGCTTGTGCCAGGAAAGCATTTCAAATTGCCAAGCGTTGCCTATCCCTGCTGTGCAGCTACTTGGGTTCTCCACCAGTCACAGGGGCAGTCATAGAAGTTTTAAAATTAATGGAAAGCTAACAAGCAAGTATCTGCCATGGTCTCCAGCCACAGTCTCCAGGACAATACAAAGCGATGGCATTGCATTAAGTGGAGATCCTAAATGCTATATACAATGATAATCATTTTGGCTCCATGTACATGTGTACTGGACTCATTTAGGGAGTCCTCTTGCAAGTGATGGGAGGGGATTTCAATCCTGTAATCAGAAGACAGGATTACCTCTCCAGAATTGCTACACGAAGAATTCAATGAACATAGGGTTAGTTGCTTTTCTTCCTCTTCATTTGCAAAAATAGATGGCCAAATTGCAGGAATATAGCCAACTGAAATCCACCTTCCACCCCACAAAAAACAACAAGAAATGGTCATCTATATTATGCCTATGGGAAATGCTGCTGCGAACATAGACAAAATTACTTGTAACTATTTACCTGATGGTGTAATTAATTTTTTTAAATTTGTGCTTTTTTATAGGTGAAGAACTGAAAGGAAAGATAACAATCCACAAAAATAGAAAGGATCCACGCTCTCTCATTGTAATACTTTCAATTAAAAGTGTGAAACAGACATATAATCTTCAGTAACAGCTGTTTCATGCCAGCTTTGAGATACGCACTTCTAAAAATGTACCTCGTGTAACTATTTGCAGGCAGATGCATCTGAATTAAAATTAGGATAGTTTGGTTCAACTGCAGACTGCTTCTTCTGGAACGAAAAATGTTGGCAGGCCTGCAGTCTCTGGCAGTTTTGCAAACCATTCCGTAGAATCTAAGAAAAAAATTCTGATATGATGAATCCATGGGGAAGGCTGCAGCACTGTTTGTGAATAAACCCACAACCCAGGACTTCTGAGTTATGGTACATAGTAATGCACTAGAAATTAAGTCTGCTTAATTCTATATGTAGTAATGGCGCATCTTTAAAAATATTGATAAAGAATTATATCACCTTGGATAATTCAGTACTTAGCAACACCAGTGGAAATGGGGTGGGTGATTTTTGTCTCAGTATTTTTATTAACACAATTAAAATAAACTCATTTGTATTTGATATTATGAATGTATTATGACTCTTGCTTAAACATTGTACATTTTGTTCAAACTTTTTACACATGGAATTATGTACCTTTTATGTTCAGAACAAAACATTGGCACTTAGATTGTCAAATTGTAAACATATAAACTGTGAAAAATAAAATGCCAGCAACTGTTTATAAAATATGTGGCATAATAACTAGCCTTACAAGTGATTTAGAATGCCAGTTAACTCCAGGGATTATTGAGTGAAGTTGATTGTTTCAGAATGGCTTTGGAGCAAATTGCTCTGGTCGTCCTATGGGAAAACTAAGAGTGACTGTGCAATTCCCTTGGTTCTCTTGGACATCTCAGTGGCTTTCAGTGCTATAGAATGCAACACTCTGGATGGATTCTGGAGAACAGTCAGCCAGACTGATCAGAGTCTTCTCCTGCATCCACACAAATTAATCTAGATGAGGTGTTTCATATTGTTTGTGCTGAGCTTTGAAACAAGCAGAAGATTCTGCCTTCTCCAGTCCTCTGCACAACATGAAGCTGCCTTTCCATCTCTGTTATCTATAGAGAGATTGCAAGGGAGAAGTGTTTTGAGTGCACAGATAATGGTTGTCAATACTAAGTCAAGCCAGAGTTTATAAACCATTTATAAACCGTTGAGGAAATAAGACATCTAATAAAATTTAAAATAAGTATGTACAGTGCACAAGTGGTTGACAGGTATTGCTGACGCTTTTGCTCTAGGAATCTGGAAGCTGGCTGGGTTTTCTTTTTTTAGTGAGCAATTGGGTAGAATGTTGTTGCTTATCCTTATTTTCCATAAGGATATGGTCCAAAGTACATTGAGTATTAGTATTAGAAGTTGATCCTACATTTCATTTGTCAGCAGGCGTCATCTTAAATCCTACCTAGATTGCTTAAGAAATGCCTTTTCATTTCCCCGTTCTTTATTCTATAAAGTGTGTGTGTGTGTGTGTGTGTGTGTGTGTGTGTGTGTGGCTGCAGTTAAAAATTTCTGGCAAATAATTTGCCTCGTCTGTCCCATTCACATAATTTGTTTTTCCACCCAAGTTCTTTGCCCCTTTAATTCATCAGCCTTTTCTCAGTACGTAGCTAAAGAGAGTTGTTAAAAATAATTGTGACAAGCAGTGCTAATATTTTAAAAGATTTCAAAAATTAATCACATCACTAAATAGTTTATTAATGATGCAGAGCCTCATGCACTATTAAAACTGAGAGATTTGTCATTAGCAGATGTAACTACAGTTTGTGAACACTTCTTATATTTAATTATTCCTTTTGACTTCTTACGCTGTTTAAGGCAATTTTGAATTGGAGCTAGTTTGAAATTGCCATCCATTGGTTCAAGATTTTAATCACTACCGAAGAGGAAACATTTGTCACACATGTAGAAACACCAGTTGGGTAACAGTGAACTTTTCATGTCCCATTTATGTTTGCTAAATGTTTAAGGGATTACTCAGAATGGACAAATACTCTAATACATTCTTAAAAAGGATTACAGGATCATTTACTTCTGTAGCAAAATGTTCAACACCTTGAAAGGGCTTATGCAGGAAGTCATTGCTCAGATTTTACACTTGATTAGTTCCATTTTTGATAAGCAATCATTCCATTTTTTTTCTTTCAGAAAGCTTCTCCCTAATGGTAAATTTGGATGATCATGTGGCCTACCATATGTTTTAGAATGGTTAACAAATGTTAGCATACCAGATTCTTTTTGATCCTTTGAGGAAGCTAAATGATGAAGTTCCCAAGGTGCTCTAGAACTTCTCCTTCGCTGAAAACAACATGAATTTGCAAAGAGCATTCCTTGATGAAGCTTTGCCTTCTAGGTTTTGATTACAGTGTAACAAATATTGTAAACTAAGAAATAGTTCATTTTTGACAGTAATGGGAAGCATCATGTCATTTATTCCAGATAATTTAAGAATCATAGCAAGTACACACATAGGGTGTAGTACCCTGCATGTATAGGCAGAAAAAATCATACACCTCCAACATATTAGGAATTGCAGGACTTTTTTTGGTCTAAACATGCATAGGATTGCGTCCTTACAAGTCTGATATATAATGCAAATAGATTGCGACATAAGGTTTGCTCATTAGAATTTGCTTTATTGTGCAACATGTGAAGTGGGGTCTATTCCACAACGAATCTGTTCCTTAAAATGTGACAAGACTCTTGTCAAATTCAAATACAACAAGTGGATTGCTGAACTTGTTCAAGCCTCGTGATCTATGAGGTGCACAAATCTGCCAAGCATATGAATAAAACGAACTGGTGATTTCCTTAAAACAAGAGTGACCAGCTCTGCATAAGGTAACCTGATTTTTTTTTCAGGTTAGATGTTACAAGTTCTGTGGATTTTCTTCCTAGAACGCTAGGTGGGAAGCAACAAAATGAAATTCAGCAGGGACAAATGCCAAGTTCCCCATCTAGGGGAGGAAAAACCAAATGCATGTAGTATATATGGCTCAACAGCACTGAAAAAAGAAAAATAACAGCTTGTTGCAGACTAATCAGACCTCACCTGGAATACTGTTTTTAGTTCTGGGCACCCAGGATTTTAGAAGATGCATAAAAACCAGAAAGGGTTCAGAGGAGGGCAATAGAGATGATCCAGGGTCTGGAAACTCGTAAGACCTATGATGAAAGTCTTAAGAGAGCCAGGCATGTTTTACCTTGAGAAGAGACAACTACAAGGGGATATGATAGCACTCTACAAGTACCTCAAAGGCTGTCACAACGAGGAAGGAAAAGGCATTAGAGTGTAGGACACAGAACCTAAACTGAAGCACACGAGATTATGGCTAGACACCAGGAAAAACTTGGTGCCTGACAGAGAGCAATATGTCAGTGGAACCAGTGGCCTAGAGAGGTGGTGGGCTTTCCCACACTAGAGACATTCAAGGAGAAACCGGACAGTCATCTGAGTGGGATGATGTGAGTTGGCATCCTCCACCAGCAGGGTGTTGTACCTGATGGCCTTCTTAGCCCCTTCTGACCCTACTATTCAATGAATCTATGAGCCAGAATTTCAGACTTAGGCTAAAGTCACTGTAAAACTGCGTTTGACCGATTATTTTTCACCATTTGTGTACTACTACCTTATTTGTGATTTTTTTTTTTGAACTAATGCTCCATATTGCCACACTATTCTTAGCAGTTCATTCTTTCTACCTTTTAGTCTGTTTGAAATGGCCTTAGTAGTGTCTGTGAATGCAGAATGGGCATGCATAGAACAGGACTGCACCATGAGGTCCACTAGTAATGGATTACCATGTTTTCAGAAACTAGTTCTATCAACTCCACGAATGCAGGAAGCCCACCACAGAAAACAGATTTTTTTTCACACAGTAAGGCTCTCTCTCTCTCTCTCTCTCTCTCTCTCTCTCTCTCTCTCTCTCCCTCTCCCTCTCCCTCTCTCTCTCTCTATATATTCTACCTACCTACCTATCTATCTGAGAGACATTCTCCTAGTTGATTTCTGAATCTGTCACCAACTGAGCTATAAATGGAGCTTAGTCTAGTCATTGGAGAGGGGAAAGAAAGCCATTAATATGGTGGCTGCTCTGGGGCTTTTATTAAGAAATGGGATGCCTGCTGCGACCCTTAATAGATTTTTAGTTTCCTCTTGCACACCTTTGTGTTGCCCTTTCTCTTTATTCTGGGACGTGGTGTTTAATGAGATGCAGTGCCTGTGATCCAGAAAAAGTATTGAATCTTAAACTAGACAACACTGTAATGGGTAAAGGAATGCAGAGAAGCATTGCAGAAAGTTTCATGCTATGCTTACCTGATTTCATTATGAAGAATAAAGGGCCATGCTAATTCTTGTATTTCTAGAGCAGGCTTCTCAGGCTGGATGCCCTCCAGATGTGTTGGACTACAACTTCCATCTTCCCCAGACCACACAGCATATTAGTTGGATATCATGAAGGTTCCCCAAACCTGGAGGGCACATAGTTGGGGAAGGCTGGCTTAGAATTTTATGCATTTCATTTGCATTGCGCCTTTTCTCCAAGGAGCTCAAGGCGGCAGAGACAGGGCTCCCCCACTCTTTACAGTTCTGTCATGTAGGCTCGGCGGAGTGCGTATGAGGTCCTCAGAGTTTGCTTTCTCATGCAACTGGACTGTTTAGAAGAAGCTTTAAAGAATATAGGATTAAAGTAGTGCACATGTACAACACACACACTGATCTTAAAATGCTTATGGGGTACTCCACTGGAAATACCTAGTGAGATAGGCCAACAGAAAATAAATCTTGCATACTCACTGGTCTTGGTCAAATGCAAATAGAGCAAGCACATACATTCATTATTTCACATGTAAGCATTATTTAAAAATGGCAATGTAACACTCCTGGTTTGGGATCTTTATTCAATGTATTGCTGTGAATTGGCAAATCTAGTGATAATCTATGCCAAAACAACTATGACTTCAAGGGGTTTTGTGAAGTGAAGTCTATGCTGTCAAAGTTTATTTAATTAAATGCTTTGAAGGAGCTTAATGTAGAAACTGGTAGAACTGAGATCACATGGAATGAGTCCTGATAGCAACTGAATGCAAGTACCATGAAATGAGCAAAACATTGCTTTTATTTGCTGCTGCTGCTGCATTGTGTAACCAAAGCAAAATGCAGGCCAATTAATGGGGCCAATTCGAATTAAATAGGAATAAAAGTTACTCAACAAGTTAATTTGATCTTCCACTAGGGTACAACTCCAACTCCCATGGAAAGGCGTACAATGTAGTTGACAAAAACTCCAGAGAAATAAATAGGGTTGATGCACCCAGAAAGCTGCTTAAGATTTGCAGAAATCGCTTCCACTGTGTTTTATGGCAGAACCACCAAACATTCAAACACTGGAATCTATTTAAATATGCTGACAGTCATTATGCAATTTGATCTAATTTATAGTATTTTATTTAAATCATAATAGTGTAAATTAATAAGGTGAACACTGTTGTAGACAGCCCATAGAGCTTTGGCT